AAAAAAAAAAAAAAAAAAAAAAAAAAAAAAAAAAAAAAAAAAAAAAAAAACTGCGGCAAACATCTAGTAGTCCAAATTTCCGCCCAAATGCTTCGTTACATGAAATGAAAACTACGAAGTCGACTTGACTGCGGTCTACCTGGATTGCGGGGTGCGGCAAAGAAGCAGAAGCTGAAGGCGTAAGAGATGCTGGGGATGGTCCGCTCCGGCAGTAAAAATGGCGCGTCGGGATTGCACGAGTGGTGGGCAGGCAGAGCCCTGATAGCTGAACATGAAGACTCATTGCCGCGCTACAGTAAACTGCCGCACTCGCCCAGCAAGACGATGAGTCGTTTCAGAATCGGAGATATTTCAATTTTTTTTTAAATAAAAAATTAATAAATAAATAGTACCAGATAAGGTACGGAGTTTTTTGTTTTTCTTTTTCCTTTCATTTTTCCTTTATTTATTTTCTTTTTTTGGGCCATATAGTCACCATGGCCCATTTAGCCCAATGTAGGATATGTCACTATGGCCCATTAGCCCAATAAAAAACATCCAATTTTTAATGTTGTATTATACTTCTAATATATTTAATATTTTTATAAATTAATATATATTTTTTAATTTAAAGACCCATTAAATAGAAAACAGAAAATTTTTTTAAATTTAAAATTTTAAGTTACAATTTTATAATATAATTTTAAAGTATTTTCAAATATTTATTTTCTTGAATAATTTTTTTCCTTTTTTTAATTAATTTTAGGCTAAATTAAAATAAAAACCCCTAAATTTTAGCTTTTGATTAAAAAATACATTTACTCTTTTAAATTTTATAATATTATTTCATTAAAATTTTTAAAATAATGTAACTTGAAAATATAACCAAAATTAAGACCCGAACACTTTATTTCACGTCCTAAATTTTATATGGATTTCGAATAATTACTCCAAACACCATAGATCCTACTTTCACTTTTACCCCCTCCCCCCCTTTTTTTTTTACATTTTTCACTTTTTTATCTAACATGGTTATTTATTCTCGTTTTAAACCTTATCAATTAAAAAGTATCATTTTTACCTACTTTTGTTTCTTTCTTTA